GTGCAGAAGAGTTACTCTGTAAGCAATTAATAAGAAATATAGATTCCAAAAGTTTTGAATTTAAAGTTCCTTCCTTAAATTTTAATCCAAAACAAAGTTATTGTGCTTGGAAATATATGTAAAGGAAAAAGATTCAATGAACTGCAATTCTATTAAGTGTCAAAGTATATTTGGGGGCCAGAAAATAGCCCAAAAGGCATAGTTTTGTGAAATAGATGAAACCTCTGAAATTGCACTCAGCAAACAAGCTTAGATATTAAAGCACTCATTTACATTTATGAAAGGGAATATGCTAATGAATAATTCCTAGCTTTGCCACATTATTTGATATCACCCTTATGTTAACACCACTATATTAAATGGTAACAGTAAAATGAAAATAATATCTTACATTTTGTTGATGAAATCTATTTTTTTTTTGTTACTGGATTTGTCATTATGTGGGCTCATATCATTTTCACATCATTTAATAGATTTACATATTATCAAGGCTACTGATATTTCTGTTTTGAGTGTATTTTAATGTTAGTTTACATTTGGGAAAGAATTAAAAATTCTCACTTCCAACAGAAAGCAATGATATATGGGCAATAATAGGTTTCATTAAAGTGCAAGTGAGCAAGAAAGAAGAATACTCATAATATCTAAAAAAAATTAGATCACATGCTCAAGAAATTGCCTCAGAACTGATTACCTATAACTTTTGTTTAACTTCCTCTGTTCAATACATTGCAATTTCTAAAGACTAAAGACTAATAGATGGAGGTAATATCAACAAAAGCCAGTTGTAAATTAATTGGTTTGGCAGTAGATTCTGGAGTCTCTAAAACGCTGTAGAACTCCTTGACTATAACTTAAAGTATAAATCTTATACAGTTATTTGATGCAGAATTCAAATCTGTTCTAATGGCAAGGATCAATCCCATTATGAGAAGTTGAAGAATGTGCTTATTTATTGAGTGAATATTCATTGAGTGACTGAATTGCTCTCTGTAGGTGATAAAAATCTAACCGTGTAAATTAAGGAGAGTAACAAGGTTAGAAGGGTGATGGAGGTCAGAATGCATCACTTTAAATGTTGTCATGGAAATTCCTTGACTTCTTCCACCAGTTCTGGTGGAAGAATAAGAACCCCTCCTCTCTTCCACCTACAGGCCAGATCAAAGTATTCAGATGATGTCACCTACTTTTCAGTGTGGGTCCATATTCAAATGAAATGGAACCCTTCAAAGAGCAGTTGAAGATCAAAGGAATTGTTAAAGTTCATGACCAGATTCTGGCTCCAACGATGTCTCAATATGGGTGAGTTGCATTAGGCGAGATCAAATGATCTTACTATTTATAACCAAGTTTGAAGTGTGGGTGAAATGGTCTAGAGATGGTCTGAACAAATGTCTGGCTACGTTGTTGATTCAGGAAAATAGAATGCTATGGGATACACACATTGACTTGAGTAAAAATGACATTTTGGGCTGGGGATATACACAATGATAAAGAAACACAATGATAAAGTGTTTTTTGCTCAAACATAGAATCTGAGTTCCATCTGACTAAACCCATGTAAAAAGCTGGCATGGTGGTATATACCTGTAACCATAGCACAGGTCTCAAACACTGGGAGGTGAATAGCTCCTGAGGTGCAACACCAAAGGCTGAACTCTGGCCTCCACACACACATACATGGATACATATTTGCACACATGCACGAACATGCATACATATCCATTCACATACACAATGACACATGGGTGAAGGTTTTGAGGATTTATATTGTGTTCTCTTCCTGTCAAGCAGCTTGGTCCAAGGAAATCATACAGTTACAAACCTCTCCCTCCTGTGTGTGTGTGTGTGTATGGAGAGAGAGAGAGAGAGAGAGAGAGAGAGAGAGAGAGAGAGAGAGAGAGAGAAAGAGAGAGAGAGAGAGGACGAATGTTTCTGTTGAAAGCACTGGGTCCTTCGACAGTAGGAAAATGTGGTCAGGGAAGAGGTAGTAAAGAGGCACTGTAAAGAGGTTTTTTAAGTTGGTGGTGTTTTGTTGTAAATATAATTAGTTTTATAATGTTTCAAAATTTAGCTATGGTTAACCCATTTCACTAATCTCATTACTCTAATTTTACCTTTTTCCTTCTTTTCTTTTCCTATTTCCCATTTGCAGAAACTTGCCATGTATGCTGTTTTTTTGATGTGAATGACCCCCATAGGTTCATGTGTTTGAGTACTTGGTCCCCAGTGGTCAAATTCTTTGGGAAGGATTAGGACGTGTGATTTTGTTGGAGGAGGTATGCCACAGTGGCAGGCTCTGAAGCATCTAAAGCCTCTCTTCATCCCCAGACTACCCTCTGCTTTCTGTTTGTGGGTTGAAATGTGAGCTTCCAGCAGCTGCTCCAGAGCCACAAATGCCAGCCTCCTGCCATGTTCCCTGATGGTAAAAGACTCCTACCCTCTGGAAATTTAAACCCCAAATAAACCTTCCCATCTATAAGTTGCCTTGGTCATGGGGCTTTATTACAGCAATTTAAAAGAATACAGAAATTGGTACTAGAAAGTGGGCTATTGCTGTGACAAACCTAACCATGTAGGTTCCTGGAAGAATGTAGATTTGGGGAGTACAGAATAGAGAAGCAGTTGAACATTATAAACAGAGTTTAATGAACCATCCTACTAGGAGCTTGGAAAACATTGCGTGCTGAGAGCAATGTGCACTGTTGAGGCCCAGCTCAAAAGGTTTCAGAGGGGAGCAATTTTAGCAACTGGACTAGCACAAAATTCTTGTGGAATTTTGGCAAAGAATGAATAATATCTGCCTTTATCCTATGAACTTTCCTGAAGCCATGGTAAAAAAAGAAAAACAATGGACTAAATTGCTTTGGTGGAGGAGATTTCAAGGTAGCCTAAGATTGACTGTGTTCTGAGGTTATTAGTAATCACCATTATGGAGGCGTACAATGAAAAAGGGCAAGTAAGGCACAAAGAAGTAAAAAGTTTAAGGTTGGAAGAGAAAAGGTTACCAGAAAATTTATTATTGTTGCTAAGGTTTCTCCTGAAGCAGATTTAGAAGAGGCCCATTTCCCACTGGAATTAAAGGGCAGGGGTGGGAGGTAGGTAGCCATCAGGGCAAGACCCCACCCTACCAAGCTTACAAATTAGGAAAGGAAAAGGCATAAGGAATTTATGCTTCTAAAAAATAACAAATACTGTTGAAAGTGTGGTTCAAGGGGTAGCCAAACTTGATGGTGTAGTTAATGTGGTCTGTCTTTAGGGTGATGAAAGATAAATGAACAAAGAGGTTGCAGACTCTTCCTCAACAGTTATGGAGAGTCTGAGGTCAGGTGCGTAGTAGAAGAGTCACTATATGGAGGCCCTTCGAGGCCATCTTATGGAGCTGAAAGTGAAGCCTGGATTTTTGTTGGAGACTTCAAGATGTTGGAGATGCCAGAACCATGAGACTTCTGTCAAGGAGAGCTGCAGATAGAAAGTGGAACCAGCCCAAGGGAGAGAGGTGTGATGGAATCAGCAAAACAAGAAGGGTGAAGTCATTTAGGCCCTTTGACTTTGGACTTGGAGCTACAGGATTTGGAATTGGACCTGTTGGGTTTCTAGCTTGCTTTGATACAGTATTTCCTCACTATGTCACCATTCCTCCCTTTTGGATTGGTAATGTATATTCAGTGCCAATGTACGTTGGAAGCATATGATTTTGATTATGATTTTGGTTTTGATTTTACAAAGGGTTGCAATTAAGAGATTGTTTTGAGTCTCAGAAGAAACTTTGGACTTTGAAACACTATGGAGACTTTGAAGCTGACCCAAATCTGTTTTACATTATGACATGGACACAATTCAGAGAGTAGAATGTGGCAGCTTGAATGAGAAGAGCCTCACATAGGTGTTTGTGCTCAAGTACTTGGTCCACAATTGGAGGAACTGTTTGGGAAAGATTAGCAAGTATGGCCTTGTTGGAGGAGATATATCATGGGGCTGGGCTTCAAAAGACTCCCACCATTCCCTAAGAACCCTCTACTTCCTGTTTGTGGGTTGGAATGTAAGCTCTCAACTACTAATCCAGAACCATGAATGCCTGCCTGCTGCCATGCTGCCTGCCATTTTGGTGATAGACCCCTACCCCTCTGGAACTGTAAACTCCAAATAAACCCTTCCAATTATATTTCTTTGATCATTGTGTTTTTATCATAGCAATAGAAACATAAGTAGTACACCATGTAAAGGCACTATGATGGAAGCATAGTTGCTTGTCTAAAGGCATAGAAGGATTGAATTAGTAAAAGAAGGCCCCAAACAACAAAGGTAACATCAGCCACAATTTAGTTAGTAATTCCTTTTTTATTATTACTTTTTTGTTCATTTTATGGGTAGGCCATGCACATGTTTTTATGTGTTTATGTGTTGTGTTATATGTGAACATGTCGTAGTGTGCATGGGAAGGTTGGAAGACAACTTGAGGCATTCTGTTCTCTCCTACTACTATGTGGATTATAGAGACTGAACTCAGGTCTTGGGCCTGGTGGAAGTTACCTCTATAGCCCCAATTTAGTAATTTCTATCTTATTTCTAAGTTATTGTTACACAGATTCTGAACCCAAAATTATTTGGGAATTTAAATTATCTAGGTTATTGTTTTGATATTTCACAATGTGTATGCAAATACCACACTGTGTAAAATTAGCAAAATGAACACAAGGATTGTAGGAAACATATGCATTGCCAAATGGTTATTGAATAAATACTTGTAGCTAAATGAGTCTTAGTACAGTATGTTTATTGAGTATACACAAACAAGAAAAAGACAACCATATTTTGTGACCTACTATAAACACTTTTGTTTTAAAATTAGGATTTTAAATTTGCTTTTAATACTTTTCAAAGCCTATGTCAAATGTATAGATGAGTTATATCTGAATATAAAGTGAGGAATCCCTTTAACTGAAATCATTCATTATACTTTGAGATTATTCAAGAAAAGAACTTTGTAAGACCACATCAATAGTATAATAAAAATATTTATTATAAAATTATCACATTTTCTGCACATAACCTACAGACAAAAATATCATCCACACATTAATAAGTTAAGTGGGCCTGGGCATTCATATCCAATCACTAGAGTCTAATGTCTCCCATGGGTTCATAAATACCAGGAAGACTGTTTCAGTTTAATTTACACAGTTGATGCTGTTGAGATCCTAAAGATTTTCTTTACTATTTTAAACACAGCTCAGAATGTTTGGGTTATTTAACCAAATGCCTTAGATCTTTGGTAAACACAAGTATTTATATGCACAAACATACAGATGAAATTTCAATTAGAAAAACAGTGACAACAACACAATAGGTAAGCTAGATGCTAACGGTTTTGTGTGATCAATCAATGCAGGAATCAAAGTCCTACCATCCAAGTCACTGGCCAGGACTTCCAAATATCAAATCTGAAATCTAAATAGTTGTGGCTTCTGCTGCCACAGCCAGATATTCCTCAGCACTAGGTCAGCATAAAATTACATACAGATTTCAAACTCCCTGTTACACAGGACTTATAATTTATAATTCAGATTTATAATTCAGAAAAAGTTCCAATGTTATTTTTAGACAAATGAATTCATTATTTCACAAACTCCTTGTCTTGTAAGAGAGAAACCCTTCTAAGAAGCTATACTCCTTTCAAAGACACCAATTCATCCTCCACCCCTCTCCGGAGGAAAAACAGGATTTTTTGGACGGGCTTGTGGGGGCAATAGGAAGATGCCTGCCTCTGCCTCCTTCCTTTCTTCTTTCCATCCCTTCCCTTGTTTATTGTTTTTTTTCTTTCTTTTCTCAGGGTGATCTGCATGGATGATGAGCCATGCCTGCCAAATACACCTTCATCCTCTGAGCAACACGCACATCACAGCTTTTAGTCATTGGTTCTCAGAGTCCCAATGATTCACAAATGACATCATCCTGGCATGAGAACTTACTTCCAGACTACTGCATTAAAAAACCAAAACCAAAAAACCCAAACAAAACACAAAACCCCAAGAAAGATTTAAATTTTAATGCTCTCAGGGTAATTGGCACTAGAAAAATTTGAACAGATATGTTAATATTGGAGTGTAGAGACTATAATTAAAACATAAAATGCACACGGTTTTAAGCCTGGAGCCTGGATTCTTCACCACTTCCAGTTAGAGAACTCCCATTTAAGTTTGTAATATGTGATTTCTTTCTCTAATGTGGGTTTTTCCACATCCAATCTTTGGATCACTTTGGTGATTTTTTTCCCTTTCCAACCCAACTTCCTGAATTCAGTGCATATTTAACAATTCACCCAGAAGTAGGCACAGACCAAAAATCACTGGCTTATGGAGTGTAGTCCAAACAAGAAAGGCTGTGTGATACTGGAGCTGTCTTGCCAAAGAAGCTTTGTACATAGGCCACGCTGCCCAGGCTGCAAGCTTAAATAAAGTGCTTTGGCATCTTTCGTCCTGTCCTGTCTAGAGTATATTAACATCTACAAAATGCACATTTACAGACATTTCTAGTAACACTCTAATCTTTGCATGGCAGGAAAACACCCATGTCTCAATAGTTGATGTTCACTGAACACCAATATATTTGGATGGCAACAAGAATTCTAAAGCATCCACCTGTTGAGCCTGCAAACCTCAAATCCTGTACTTATTAAGAAAGAGATGTAACTTAGAGACTGACTTCTTTTCAGTATTTGCAATAACCTCGAGTCATTCTGCATTGCCAAATGAGGAGCAGGTCACCTGCAGTCTACTGGAGTCTGGCCCTCCTGACTTCTCCCAGGTCACACAACCAAGCTCCATCTCTCATTGGATCAATGTCTGTCCTAGCGTTTGTATTTTGCTTGGTTGGTTGTTTTGTTTTGTTTTGCGGAAACAAAAGTCCACACACATTCATGAAGCAGCACTGCCATAGACCCACTTTGATCCCATAAAGGTTCCTACATGTTCCCCTTCACACTGCCACCGTTTCCTTTGACAGGTTTTTTGGTTCTCTGCTTGGGATACACCAGTCGCCAGCTTCGGAGCTCATCTGATAGTGTTTGAAGGCTGACTTGTTAAAGACTGGGAGTTTTTCTACAGACTCAGAAGATAAAGCCTAAGAAGAGAGGTGAGAAAATGTTAAAGAAATTATGCAGGGCTGTACTTCATTATTCAAAATACATTCAGAGGTATGACTTAATATCCAAATACTCTCGTTTAATTGACTTTGTACTAAAAGTATACAAACTCATGGTGTTCTTGGTATTTTTTTTTTTACAAAATAAGACTAAAAAACTATCATCTTTATGAAATAGAGGCTTAACGGGGATGTGGGATTGTAAATTTGGGCACAGATTTTGTGTTGAATATTTTCACATGCTGTTTGAGTACCTCTGATGTAATGGAGTTGAAGAGGAGAGCAATTCTTTCCAGTGAGAAACCTATGAATCTCTGATAGAGACCTAAGATGATACTGTTAAAGGGCTCTTTCTCTACCACTTTGAACACGTTGGCCAATTTCATAAATGAATAAACATAGTAACTACTGAAGGGAGTCAAAGGGAACTTCATTTAATTCCAGTGAACAAGATGGAAGCCTAGAAACTTGATGCTGCTGTTCTTACCATCTGTAAATAAATTTTCAGTTGAAATAGTTGGCAAATGATAAGCAGAATTGGGATGGTGACCTTAAAAAACAAATTTAGGTTGCATCTGGGACAGAAAAACATGGACTCAGTTTTAAAATTCAAGTTGGAAATACCTGGCACTCCACTGACAGCTCGTCATTAATCTTTTTCCTGGGTTTTAAATAGGGTCAGCTTAAGGTTACAGAGGTCTTGATTTTTATTATTTTATTCTGAAACATCATTAGCATGTATTACTCACAAGGCTGAGTGAAACAGAACACTAGCTCCCCTCACAGATGTCAAGAGAAGTTGTCTGAGAAAAGTTCTCATTGGTATGCTGTCACTCTGAGGCTTCTTCTAGGTCTGGGTCAACACTTGAGGCCCATAGCATGGCTGAGCTTTCTCTTGGCTAAGTTGCATGTTAGGTGTGCACATACCAAAATAGAAACTTTAATAACTGGCTATTGCTTAGATGAACTGAGTTTGAATAGTTCACAGAGGACTGTGGAACTTAGAGAAGTACATGAAGCCATGACTTTAAAATGGTGGTTTTTACTGAGGTCAAAGCATACCTTTAAGTAGATGATGGCGTCTGTCCCATAGCCCGACATAGAGTAGAGATTCAGGTCTCCTTGAAAATACTTGGCATAGAGACGAGAAATTGGCAAGCCATAACCAAAACCAGCCTGGATGAGGGAAGATCAAGTGTTAATGAAAAAGTAGACATGACCCAAGGTGGGAAGGAGCTAGTGTCTAAATACTTTCTCTCAATCAGATGTCCTTAGAATCTTCACTTTGTAATATTTCTCATATCCCCACATGCCTATTTAACTAAATAGATTAACTTGCCTAAACACTGTTTCATAATTCTCACCCTACATTTAGAACTAGGTGGCTGAGATGACTTCAGCTGTATCACTGGCCTTACCAAAGGGGCATTCCGTGAATTGTCCATCACAGGCGTTGGAGCAGTGGAGTATGTGTAACTAAAGAGGCGGTCAGTGATCCTCAGAGGAACACCACCTCCTCGGTCAGAAATCTGAAACAGGGAGACAAATAGATCAGAGCTATACTTCAACAACAGTGGGCACTTGTCTACAGAAAAGGCTCTTCCTTTCTTGAAAGTCATCTGGCACACATGGCTTTGAGAGCTGTCCCAAATGGAAAGCCGTATTACCATAGGCCCCTTTTAGTTTCCTCCAGATAAAACAAAAACAAAAGGAGGGAGTGACTACCTTGATTGTAAGGTCTTCTTTTCCCAAGACGACAGTTGCCTCGACTGGTGTCAGGGAAGGGCGATTTTCTTGATGCTCAACTGTGGCCCTCATGGCATTCTAAAGACAACAAAAACCATAAGAAATTCAATGGGGGAAGAATGAGAGACAATAAATAACTGGTTTTATGTTTAAAATAAAAGCAGCAGAGGGTAATTCAAAGTTCCTATTTCTTAAGTGAGTGATAAAACATCTCTGTAAATATAGCCATTTATGAATGTGTCATGTAGAATGCATAATGAAAAATCTTCATTTACCATGGAATATAGCTCCTGGGAGTAATGTCTAATGGAAAAACAATTCTGCTAGCTGTCAAGTTCTTATTTGTAAGCTTAATTTAAATGTAGAAATTGGTTTTTATAGTCCATTTCCTAGTGCTCTATTTTTCTGTCTTTCCATTACATTTTATATCCAAACACCAAAGACTATTACATAAGGAATGAACAGTGAATCGTTGAACCAATTTATTGGCTTTTATAAAACTCGCTAGAAAAAAAGGTTGTTACTATTTAAAAAGACAGTCAATAATTCTAAATTAAATTTCTATTTGCATTTGAATATCATCTTAGCTTTCACCATTGATGGTGGAATAACTCTTTGAGTTAGAGCATTCAATTAAAAATAAACTAAATCGATGAAAAAGGATCACATGCATTTTAGCACAGAATACACTAAAACAAGCTTACAGGGGAAATGCCTTGTAGGTAAAGTCTCACTTTATGAGACTGCTTTCCTGTCTGATTGTCCTTTGGTATCTCTATATAATACCAGATATTCACTGAAGTGAAGTAAAATAGATCAGATTTTTGTAGTTTTATCAATATCAATATCTCATTGCAAAGCATTAGAATAAGTTAGAAAGCAGTGTATTCTGGATTTATGTCGGTTTTAGAGGCAGATTTTACTTTTTAAAAAAGATTTCCTCCTCCTGTTAATATATAAAATTGTCTTGGGGAACATCACAAACTTCAAGTATTCTTTTTTGTTTGTTTGTTTGAGTTCAGAGCATTAGTATGATCTTAGAATGTATAATATAATTTGTCATCAGTGTTTAGTTACCCAGACTAGAGACATTTGAGTCTTCAATGCCCCTGAAGTGCAAATTCTTGGCCCTACACAATCTAAACATTTATATGTACCTGTCTTTTATCAAGGCCTGCAGATGATTGTGGCACATACTTTCTGAGAATCAGGGTCCTGCAGGCTGTTTAGAAAGTATGGACTTTAGATAAACATCACATCCTTGGAAAGTCAGAATCCTGGATACCACTCCAGACCTGCATCGATTTTGCATTGTAATGCAGCCCACTCATGATTCAGATTCATGTGATGGGATTGACTGTAGATTCAGAATGAGGCCACCCCACCTATAGGAACCATTCCTTGGAGTCTGCTGCTGGAGAGTCTATGGTATGGAGGTTGCAAGACTTCATTCACTAATGAATTCACCCCGTGACCTCTTCTAAAGAATAGACGACTAGTGCTTTGTTGCACATCCGAAGAAACGATGGGAGCATCCTCTCCATTCTTCAGTACTGAGATAGCATGAGCCATATTGTATGTTTTCAAACACATTGTTTACTGTGTCTCTGTGCACTTTGCCAAACACTGGCTATATTCTCCTTTATACCAAAGTGTTCTTAGGAGAATATGTAGAGGCTCTTACTTACTCGGGAATGATAAAAGTATAAGGAGTCAACGATTTAAAGACAAATCCATGATTGCTGTGAAGTATCATACCTTGAATAATTCAAAGAGCATATGATGAAGGTGCGAAGGGACATACACGATATGAATTGGTTGGCCTGGAAATTTTCCTAGAAAAAATTAAACTCATTAGAATTGAGAAACAAACATTGAAATGAACCTCCATGTATGCTTAATTAATGTTTTAGTTTTAGACAAGAAACGGATAAGCGCTGTTTTCTGCACCTGAACATCGTGATGTAGAACTTTCCCCCGTCAGTAGTAGAGGCAGCTGGCTTGTTCGCAAAGCGCTGTCCCAGCTGCTACCTACTAGTCAAGATTAATGCTTACATGTCTCCACAAGTGTAGTTGTAGTTGACTGAAGTGTGAGGCAGGGGAGTAAATCAAGTTACACAGATGTTCTACCTTCAACATGCTTGAGCTATACAATTTCAGTGTTAAAACTAAATGTATTTAAAGATAGGAGGAATCCATATGCTTATAACATTAAAATTAAGGGTAGCTATATTTTTCGTATTTTAATGCATATTAAATTACATGATTCATTTAATCACCAAAAAAAAATTAAACCCTAGAGGTTAAGTGTGTTTAAGCTTAACCAACAGGCTAAAGAAAACAGAAACAAAAACCTCATGATGCTGTTTGAAAAGGAAAATAGAAGTATTCTTTGATGCCCAGTCCTGGGGAAAGTTTGAATGAGTAAACACAAGGAGGATCTGGCACAATCTTGTCTTTGTTTTGTCCAACAGTGCAAGCAGTTTATCTGCAAGTATAATACGATGCTGCTTCCCCTGGGTTACTTTGTCATTATCATCCCTCCTGCTTTTGTCTTAGTGTTCACCTACATTTCAATGTTCTCAGTCTAAGTTAGTCCTAACGATTAGCCTCGTAACTAATAAATGCTCCTGTATAAACATGACTTGGAAAAACACATAGCAGAAAGGGAATATCATTCTAATTTTGGTATGCCTTGATCTGAGAAGCTACTCTCTTCTGGAATAGAAGACAATAATGTAAAAATCACCCCTTGCATTGTTCTATGTGTGACTACTCTAGCTCGACAGATAGCACAGAGTTCAAATTTTGAAGTATATCCCATGCCCAAATAGTAGCATTTTTGCAGTACGGTTTTAAAATTGTGGTAAGAACATTCAACACAAGTTCAAGTATACTTGAAGAATTCTCGTGTGTATGGTACAATACTGCTAACTATGTTGTGCATCAGATCTCTTGAATGTATTCATCTTACACAACTGAAACTTTATACCTATTCAAAAGCAACCCTTCATTTCTTCCCCCTGAGCCACTGACAAGTACTGTTGTAATCTGCACTTGTGTGATTATGACTAACTTGGGTTTATAGCTCACATGACTGGAATCATGCAATATCTGTCATTCGGTGTCTATCTTATTCCTTCTAGGACAATTTAGGAAGTATTTTTGTTCTCTGTGAATAACTTCTTGAGAAGGATAGCTCCATTGACAACTCTTTTCTATACTTCAGATATCCTTATTATTCATAGTCTACTTTTTATTTAATTTTCTGAGACACAGTCTCATATATGTTCAGGGGCCTGGAGTTTGAAATGTAGGAAGGACTTGTACTCCACTTCCCAAGTGCTGCAGTTGCAGACACCATACCTGGAGATTATCTTGCATATTTTATAGGAAGCAGTCTTTCCCTGACCTAAGATATTAGAGCCTAGGTACATCTTTGTTCAAGCATTCTTCCTTATGAATTGCTGTTAGCAAGTGATATGCACAATTGAAGCTTTTCAACTGAGGTACCAGCGAGAAGTTTGGCTTTAAAAACAAAGCAAAATGCCTTTGTACAAATTCTAAGCAAGCTCAGGATAATAAAAAGAACACAAAAGCTGTCTTATATTTACAAAAAAGCAGTGATGCTAAGTTTTAGATAGCTTTACTTGTTTCTTGCTGCTAGCTTACCATTTACTTGTGTGAGCTTTAATTCTGGCGATGTCAGATAATACTGATCGCAGAGCATCTTTGCACATTCAAAGGCATCTGGAATAGAATTTTTCATAACAAAGAAATAAATTTATTCCAAGTACACTTGTCAAGTGATACTCAATGTGTTTACTGCCCTTAATCTAAAATCCTATTCACTGGGGAATTGGCTTATGTGTATGAAAAATGTCTTTTTAATATTTTATTAAAACTATTTTATTGAGGTTGGACCAATAACAATATGTGCACCTCAGAGATCAAATACAATATATAAGAATATGGCACATGGACCACTTATGTTTAAATTTTTTATAATACTATAAATGAGTGTTTACACTCCTGACACTCAAAAGCTAGGGACCTGGTTGGCAGAATTCGTAAAGCAAGAGCAGAACATAGTGAACACAAATTCAATTACAGAATCACCAACATTACAGATTTGCCAACCATATATTGTACATTTTCAATAAGAGAAATATAGAAGTGTAGAAATTACCTTGGACCACTGCTACCACATCACAGCTTGGGTCGATGCTTCCAATGTGGCTTGGGTTTCCTGTCTTTGAGTCACTGAAAATAAGGACTGTTAAAAAAATGAAAACAGAAGCATGTTATGAAAAACAAGGGGGAAATTAGAACTGCCAGGAAGAAAGGCTATGGGGCCCCAGTCATGGGTACAGCCTCAGCATGGCTTGTATACAACACCCACATCTCCAAGCTATGTTTTGAGAAAGTCACTTACTATGCTGGTTCATCAGCATCCGAGTAGAAATTCGGTTCATATAAAACCGGTCCAAGAAATACTGAAGATTTTGATTGGTAACTGGGTCAACTGTACAGGTGTCTTTATACTCAAGGATTCCTTGAGCCATTGTAGGGACCACATTATGATGTCTGTTTCGAACTTTGATGAGCGCGTCTACAAAGCTGAGTTAGAACATTTATAGTTAGTGGACATTAATGAACTTTTCCACATATCTCTCCCTTAATTGCCTCAAAGAAAACTAAAGGTCTTTTTGCAGCAGGAGCCGCCCAAGAACAGCCAATTGTAAAATGCTGGGTGAAGCTTCTTTCAGACTCTCACTACACATTCTTCTACTGTAGTGGAAGAGCCAGTTTCATGAGACGGTTGGGGTTTTTAGGTTCCATGTCAAACCACTCACTGTTTGGCTGGTATGTTCATTAAAAATGTTCATTAAGCCTACTTGTTAGAAAATAATTAAAACCACAGACAATTCACTGTGAAAAATGAAACTCTTGAAGTTTCTTGTCATACTTTAAAGATTTGCATTTAGTTAACTAGAAATTATAACACAAATAAGAAAAATGTAATCACCAATGACCCAGAAGTCCATTAAAATTATGTAAAAGCAAATTCTCTTGCAAGTATACTCTTTGGACTAAATTGAAGTAAATATGAAATTCCTTGAGAAGCAAAAACTGCAAGATCTCTATGTTTGCTCACACATAGCACTAATTTCAGCTCTATAGCTCTACACATCTAAAACCACCAGCGAGCCATAATTTGTAAGGAGTAGCAATTTACTGTGGAAGTTGGAGCTCTTTAATCTAAAGATCTTGAAAAAGATCTGTGAGGTGTGTCCAGAAGGACTCAGGTTTATAAATACATATTCTCACAAGGAAAGCTTACTCTGATAGAACTTTCTGATCTTCTGAACTCTTCTCATGGAACTCCACCAAGTCCATCAAGCTCTGTATGTACCTGTTAAAGGAGAAGTGTTGATATTAATGGCAGATGCAAATAAATGGTTACAAATAAAATACCTTTTGAGATGATCAGAAAGCTCAAAATTGCGTCTTTCCTTCAGGATGTTTGGAAAAGAACATATTAAGGTATCTTTAAAGTTGAAGTTTCCCACCCTCTACTCTCCTGGCCACTTTGGTTGGCAGATATTTTCATTTCTTCTACTAAAAACACTCATAATCAACTTTTAAGAAAACATTTCTTATTTTTGTTTTCAGACTGTACTCTTCAGGAGAGCCTGAGTCTTGGCAATGAGCACAAAGGATTGCACATACGTTTCAGGCTGGAATCATCCAATGGTCATATCATATTTCTTCAATCACTGGGCAAGATGCTGTGTAATCAATGAACTAAGGTAGGGCTCTTTATCTGCCACCATCTATAACATCGATCTATCCTCCAAAAATCTGCTTGCTAGGCATCAGTACTATTAGTTTAAGACAAGTCACAGGAACTGACATTAAATGCTGGTGCTTTGTGTCTATTTAAGTCTTTAAAAAACTATCTCATTTAGTCGTAGGCAACAAGTCTAATAACGATAGGTGTGGCAGTTGAGGCAGAGAGGGTTTAAGACACTTGCTAAGCTACTAAGGGAGATGAAAAGGCAAAATTTGAACTCAAGGCTCACTTTGCTAATTACTGGTAAAGGACAAAGATTAGACCCTCTCTAAACAGCAGACATCCTGATCTATTTCTAGGCAATGGATTATTTGTGCAATTTCAGATTCCATCCTTTGTTATGTAAAGCACAAAATCAAACTACACATATTGATTATTTCTCAAATTTATCCCATGTGTCAAAATTATTTTGTAATGAAAGTTGGGTATGGTGGTCCATGCTCACAAACCCAGCAGCTGGAGGGTGAAGGCAAGTAGAGAAGACTTCAAGGTCATTCTAAGCTATATAAAGAGTTCCAGGAAGCCTGTGGTACAGGAGATCCTGTCTTGAAAGACAAACAACAGGGGAAAAATAGGACAAAAATAAAAGCACAGCCCCCTCCCCCAAATAAAGGGCTCTGAGTTTTTAGGATATTAACAAATAAAGGGCTCTGAGTTTCTAGGATATTAACAAATGTCTATTCATAGATTTATATCTACCCTAATGATAACCTGCCCTAAGTTAGTACAAACTTCCTTACAATTTCCAGAACTATTTTCTGTTAAGACCATCTGCTGAGTACGATGTTAACATGGCATAAGAAGGGGTACTCAGGTAGCATTGAAAGTTCAGACGTCAAAACAGTGAGCCCCTTACCAGCTCTTCACCAGCTGCACGGAGGGGGTATTCACTAGTCGCTCAGGAAGGATGTCAATCTCCTTCAGGATGTTGGCTAGTCTCACGGGCAACTCTTGTCGCAGAAAAGCAAAAGAAGTTCTTTCACAGGCATTTTCTGAACCTGCAATGGATTAAAACATGTTCACTTTGGGGGGGGCGGGTAGAAAATAAATATCAAATATAAAGGACATTGGAAAATGACATCTTAACTGCAGTTAGAGTTTGTAAATACTTTAGGAATAGGTATCTTCAGTGTATTTTCGTTCTGTCTCCCCACCCCCTTTTCTTCTTTTAAGAGTGATCAGTATAGCTGAATTACTGTTTGTTTTCCTGCTGAGGAGAATTCACTTTGGAGAAGTCAGACCAGTCTCCCGGTTGTTCCTATCCATTAGAGTAGGGCCAGCCTGTACCACAAAGTCAACAACACTCTAGAATGAGTATGGACTAGAAAGGTACTGGGTAGGAGGCAGAGTGATTTCCAGACTAGCAATAAACATTACCACATTAACATCTTGAAATATTCCTATGGCATCACTGCACTAAGGGAGTAGCCAGGTTTTATTTTAGTAGTACTGTAAACACTTGTAAAACAATAAGGGCAAAGTGGTAAAGATGTTTTTCAGGCATGCTAAGAGGTCTCCGGGGTAGGTGTGGGTATGTGTGGAGGTAGGAGTTAAATCTAGCAGTCTAATGTGAGTTTACGCTATTACGAATTGTACAATGGGAAGAAGGGAGGAAGTTTCTAGTCCATTATTAAAATGGTGGCTGGTGGCAAACACACATATATGGATATATTTCAACTCAAAGATCTAGACAGCGAGAAGAGGAAAGCGGAGTCAAAGCTAAACATTCACACAGGGCCACAGGTGACCTACACTTGTGGTCCAAACTGTCAGAAAGTAGCCAAACTAGGACATCTCAAGGTGCACAGCCCTTTGGGGCTCCCGAGCTTCTCAGCCAAGTGGACCTCAGTTGCCCTAGCTATGAGCTCAGCCCTTCCTATCCTGACACTTCCCCGGCCTCAGCGCCACCCTCCTGGGCCCCAGGTCTCCTCTCACCAAAGTCCAGCAGCTGCTTCATGGACAGCGGGGACGGGCTGTAGCGCGAGAACAGCTCGACTTCCCTGGGGACCAGGCCGGCGCTGCTCAGCGAGCTGGCGCTGCGCATCACGAAGCGGGCCGCCTTCATCCTGAAGCCCACCTAGGCTGGCGGTGGCTGGGACACGTTGGGGAACAAGGACCGCGGGGCAGGAGCGCTGTCGGGCGGGAGCAGGGCGGGAGCAGGTGCGCTGTGGACTCAGGGTCCCCGGTGCTGGGTGGCTGGTTGACACTCTGGTCTTCCCACCTCCCGCCGTCTTTTATCACCCTGCCCTCCCTCCCCACCTCAACTCCAGTCGGGAGGAGTCACTGGAACTCTGAACTTGGGGCCACACCAATCAGCTCAGAGGAAGAACTTTGGGCCCCTCCCCTTGGCCACGGACACCAGAAAGACCTGGCACGGTGACACTAGAGAGAGCAGGCTCTGGTGCCCTAGTCTGCGAGGGGCAAGGCCAAGGGGCATGAGGGGGAGCTATAGCGGGCATCTGGGACGATGTGGGCTGGGGATTGCCGCCTTGGGACAGGTCCCAGCTCTCCAGGGGCTTCAGGCCCGCCCAGACTTGTCCTTGTTTACAACTCCGGAGCCCTCTCAATGTCATGTGTTCCTTGCCAGAAACTGTTTCCAAGAATCTCGGTTCTGAGAGCACATTGGTGCTTGCTCAGAGCGGGACTTTTACAGTAGCCAATCAGCTACTTAACAGAGCATGGGCTTCCCTGCCATTGGACCACGGAAGGAATGGGCATCCTATACTTTCCCCCACTTTCTTCTTAGCAAGCATCCCACCGCTCCAAGTTTAGAAACTGCTCTAAGAGGCTTATTATTCGGGAGTGGGCGGGGGGGGGTTCGTTTCTCTCCTGTAACACTTTCTACTTGTTAATTAAATGCAAAATAAAAAAGAATTGGCTGCCATTTGACTGACTTTGTTTTCCTCTTGTCAGAGAATTTTTTTCACGGTCTCTGACTAAAGCATTCTAGATGGCTCTCAAATGCCCCCCACAAAAATCTACTCCAAAAGTTTTGCCTTTGCTGTTTGGCTTCTCTGTCTCCAAATACAGCCCTTTGTAGCATATTGTAGTTTTTTGGACTCTTTGACATCTGTCTCTGACAGAGATTAGGGCTCTGTCAGATGCTCCATGCCTCCTACCCTATTGTTACTACTAATATTTGTTCAGCTAATGGCTGCTGTTGGACCATATTAGCCTGTCATAAAAGTCTCATCCTAACCTCTTCCACCCTTCCATCTGCTCTAAATGAGCTGTAGAATGAAGCCAGGGTTTGGGGAAGCTGGTAATGACTTAGTTGCAAATGTAATAGATTGGAAACTAATAAGGAAATAATGGTCATTTGCTTTCAATGGTCCCAGTTAGCCTTGGACCCTTGCATTTAAGCAGAATGGGGTTTTAGGAAAGTCATGGGTGACCCCTAGGGCTCACCCACTCTGCATGTTTCTCTATGAGATCCCACCCAGTCACAGGACTGATTTCCAATTTCTATCTCTAATGCAAACTCAGCCAGTGGAGCCAGACTCCATTATTCTACTGCTTATCTGACCTCTCCATTCACATTTCTAGCGTCCTCTCAAATCCATCACCATTGCTGGGGATCTGATCTAGTCCTCTCAAATTCTGTGTCGACTTGGACTTGTGTGACACTGTAAGAGACAGCACATTGGTTTCCTTCCACAACCACCTCATCGCTGCCTGTCCATTACCTATAAATTCTAGCATTTATGATTGCTTTTCCATCCAGGCATTTTGCTCAGAACTATGAGGGAAAAAACCTGTGAAGTCATTCAATATTCATAGTTTTTCTGGTAATTAGTGTATGGTATGGGTTCTTAAAGACACTGAGAAATAATTTGGAGATGGATGAAAACACACAAGTAACTGCACTTTGGGGCGGGGAAGAAGAAAAATGGTCAAACTAGATGTAACTTAAAGCACTGTGCTTCAGCACAAAAAGGGTCCTAGGCCTCACTGAGCTTGAATATAGACATGACCAGAACTCTCATGTTGTGCTAAGATCCCTTGTAATCTAAAGCTCTGGAGAGCCAAGATGTGTCCAGGAGGTCCAAACTGAAACAAGATTGCTGAAGCAGGTGAAGGTAAGGTAAAAGTTTCCTTTCTATCCTGGACTACATCCTAAGAAATGAAAGTACACACCCACATTTCTATTCACGAATGAGATAGTCACAATTTCTTACTACAAAGGCCAACATTTTAATCTGGAGAGGGAAGGAAACTGTATGATCTGTATGTCTCATTTAGAAAAAAAAGTCCCTTTTCCTCAAGCTCATTGTACTCTCAGCCTTACTTACCCCGTGGTGTTATGAGGCGATTAAGGATCAGGTGGGGTCATATGATGCTTACAGAGATGACTAAAGGCTAAGTGTGAACCGAGGTCACCAAAATTTTGTCGCCATGCTATCCCATCCAATAACATTTACCAGGTTGCTCTCAGTACACTGCATTCTTCTGTGTCATTTCTGTGTGATGGTAACTGTTGTTATTATTGGCAACACTGGTGGTAGCTGAGCCGGAATGGTCAGGTCAGGTTTTTACCTAGTTGGCAAATGTGCCCTGTGGTACTGTGATTAGAGAGTGGCCTGGGATCTCTGTGTTCAGACTGACTACAAATTTTGGAGGGAATTCAGTTGAGACAAAGGTGAAACAGGAAAAGTTATTTGGGAATCATGAGTGTGAACCAATTCATGTGTTCCTTTGAGTAAACGTAAAGCATGAGAAATTACTGTCTGACTCAGTTTCTGGGAAGGGGTAAACCATGCTTCCCCTTTCAGAACCTGCTGGATACAACATCCCAGCTGACACATAGGATTCTTTATATGTTTCAAATGTACTTTCACCTACATTAAATTGTTCCGCATCCTTTGTCTGGCAAAAATCCATAGTATAATGCTGTTAGGGGAGCTTTGAGAATGTAAGTCACAGTTTGGACAAAGGTTTGGGGGATCAAATTGACAACATGGATCAAAGCTCTTAAAGAGAAGCCTATTCATTTTCCCCCTCATTCTAGAGGCATAGTCCAAGGAAGCAATGAACACACACACACACACACACACACACACACACACACACACACACACACACACACCAAGAACTCCAAAGTCATCATGGAAAAGTTAGAAGATTGACCATAGAACACTTATAGTTAAAAGATGACCTGCCAATTTGGGAATATATTTACAAAATATGTAACAAATAAATGGTGAAACAAAAATAGCTGTTTCATTAGGATAAAAGCAGCCATGGTTTGTTTCCTTTTGGAGTTGTAGATTTGGATAAGAAAATAGCCTTTACTAAAGCAAATGGACACTGAATCTATACATTAAATTAGGTTAAGAGCTATAAAGAAACACACATAAAGAACATATGAGCTGGTGTGACCTTAGACTTGGTGGTCATGGATAGTCTTCTGAAGAGAATGGCAAATGAGATGAAGTAGCTAGCATTCTGTTGGCATGTCAGAGAATGCTAGAAAAAGCATATTGGTATAGATAATTGGGTAGATTGAGGCCTAATATTTCTTGCAATTCTGATCACTTAGAAGACAGTAGGTTCAGGAGTTAAATTAGGTGTCTTGGTAGCTGCAACATCATCTATTGTTAAGTATCTCAAACTACATTGGATGACTGGAAACAATGGTCATTTATTATTTTAGAGTTATAAGACTTTCATTGAATCCACAGTAGAAAAGTTATAACTAAAGACATCAAAGCAACAGTCTATAAGAAAGACTCATCAATGTGTCAGAGGCTGTGATGGCACTGATAGTATCAGACAGCAGCAATACTGTTAGGGTCAAGGACCCTAACATCTATCTGGAGGGAGAGCTAAGATGGTGATCAGGGACTTCTGCCTCTGAGGATTGGTATCTGGGATGATCTTGGAAGGATTCATAAGACTAGCAAATGATTGCTAGGTAATGAGAAAGCATGCTTTCATCTTGATGAACTATAGTTATTGAAGCTGCAGACATACAAGAGGATTAAAGGCTAGTTTAGTCTGCCTAGTGCCTAGAGCATCCTGAGTGAAGAGAGAAGGGGAGGTTGTGTTGCTTGCTCAAATTTATTAGCAACAATTGAATTCCACTAAACTTTATTGAGGACTTCCTGTGTAACAGGTACCAAGACAGATGCTAGAGCCATAAAGATAAAAATAAGACAGTTACTATCTATGAGGATGGTCGAAAGATACGTGAGTAATCTTGAAAATAAATGTCATTAGTTATGTGTGATTGTGGAGCAGTCAGGGAAGACATCCTTAGAGAAGGCAGCATACCATATGTGTTTTGATACCTTTTATGCAGGCAAGGGAAAGGGTATAGGAATAGAGAGGAGGAGAACTAAGAGGAAGCCACTGTGTTTGTAGGATCTCTGCACTTCATCAAACATCAGAAGGAAGTTTGCTTACTAAGTTTTTTTCAAGTTCTCTTGTGTTCTCAGTCTGTGGCACTGGGAGGAAATGATTTCATCACTGAAAGCAAGACCATTGGGAATCAAGCAGATGGGGTGCTCTGACTGGAGGCCAGCTAAAGTCATGAGCTTCTTTGGGAATGTGTTTGTTAATGAGAAACCACAGGAGAGTCCGAACTACCAGTGAAGGGAAGATAAGAACTCAGGGGTCACCCATTCATTGCTGAAAGTGACGTGGCTGTGGATTCTGTTCCCAGAATTTTCACTGAAAGCTTTCTTTGCTTGCCTGCAGCCATGGCTCTCTCCACCTTGGATGGAGTCCTTCTGAAATGGGCTTTTGTCTCATTCACAACATTCTGACACACATTAAGATCACAATGCTTCACGAAACAGAAAGGCCAACTCATTCTTCTTTTGGCCCTTGGGACCAAAACCCAACGAGAGAGAGAGAGAGAGAGAGAGAGAGAGAGAGAGAGAGAGAGAGAGAGAGAGAGAGAGAGAGAGAGAGAGACAGAGACAGAGACAGAGAGACAGACAGAGAGAGAGACAGAGAGAGACAGAGAGAGAGAGAGAGAGAGAGAGAGAGAGGCTCTTGACATTTTTTGCGGTTAGACAAGAAGCATAACTTATTATTCATTTTTTTCCCAAGTATTTTTCCAATTACATTTGATGTTTGCTTTTATAAGAAACAATAAATGAAGGCGAGCACTGGAAATGAAAAATTAACCAAAGAAGAAAAATAAATGCATAATAAGCAAACAGAAACATGCTCAAAGTAATAACTAAGAAGATGTGAATGCATTGTTTTTCTGCCATCTGATTGGCAAATAAAAAAGAA